AAATAGTTGCAAACATATTCACTTACATACATACACATGCAGTATCATATTATCCACACATTCATGAGGCATATATGTATAATGTGCATATGTTTAACTGCCTTTTGATTTCTGCTACCTCGCATGTCAGACCCTCCCTGGCCTCTTTCACTTTATCGTTCCTTTCGCTTCTGTTATCTTTTAATGTAGCCAAGGGTCATAACAAATATGTATCCATTATTTGACATTAAATGTAGGCAACGCAACTTGGTAAAATAAGTCTCATGAAAGATAACTGGCAGATAGACTAATTCGAAAGCCTTGTCTCTCATGTTAAAAATAGAGTCATTGGTAATCAAGCTCACGGGCTGGTCAAAATGCCTTCGCGGGCCGGATTCGGTCTGCGATCCGTAGGTTGCCGACCCTTGCCATAAAGGATAAGGCTCTTTATCTCATTGGGGTTTATGTGCACAATGTCCATTCTGAGCGGCCTGCTTTGTTTCGGCAGATCAAGCCATTTTTGATGACATCCTGTCGGGTAGTTTTAGCAGGGGATTGTAATACTGTCCATGACCCCGATATAGATCGTATAGGGCCAAATTCGGGTACTTACAACCGGGACGTGAAACCATTTTGGGACTTTATCGATAGGTTTGATCTTGTCGATAAGTACTGGAATGAGCACCCTTGGGAGGTAGTTTGGACTTGGACAAATAATGGCGGCTCGGAGGCTGGGACTATTTCTAGCTACCTTGACCGAATGTTAGTTAGGAGAGTTGATGTAGGGCTCTTTGGGTGTCCAAGTTTTCATTATATAGTTTATACAGACCATAGGTTTGTCTGGGTCCGTGTAAACTTAGATAAGCCTAAGGTTAGGTTGGCTGGATACTGGAAATTAAACTGCTCACTATTTGTGAATGCCTGGTGGGACAATTTAAAATCGAAAATTTGCTGCTGATTTTAGCCGTCAACTCAACCTAGATAGAGTAGCGACACAAACGGCATTAGAGCAAAAAGTAGAATGGGCAGTGAAATCCCGAGATAGTGAGGAAATAGCCTTAGCTAAGGCAGAGTTGTCTTCATTGCTTATCAAGAAGGATCAAGCTCTGGTAGGGCTAGGTTAAAAAGAATGTCCTCTGAGGCGACAAATATGGCCACTGAGTTGCGCGCAGAGGAGTCTTGGAATGCATCTCAGCAACATATTGCATGTGTCACATTGCCAGATAAGCAGACAGTGACTTCAAATGCGGGCATATGTGAGGCTTTTCGTGATTATTTTCAAGAACTTTTCACCAGGGAGCCCAGTTTGGGCCCTGCTCAGTTCTACACCTATTTAGCCGACTTCCCCTGTCTCAAAGCAGCTGAAGCGTTTGGATGCGAGGGTGCCATCACAGAGTCGGAAATCTGGGAAGCATTGAAACAGTTTGGCCGGGATAATTCTCCAGGATCAAGTTGCTATGCAAGGTCAAGAATGGTGGGGATGGGATAGTAACTTTCGCCCTTTAACTATGTTAAATACAGAGTTAAAGATTTTGGCAAAGATCTTAGACAACCGTTTGCAGGCTGTCCTGTCTAGTCTGATTGGCTCCAGACTTGTGCTGTGAAGGACTATTCAGGACAACCTTCATATGGTATACTTGATCATTGAGAAAGTCAACAGTGAAGCCGTGCTGATCAATTTAGATCAGTCCAAGGCCTTTGATAGGGTTGACCATCGATTCTTGGAGGCCGTCCTTTTGGCAGTCAGTTTTGGGCTGTACTTTCACACCTGGATCCGACTTCTGTATGGAACTCCCGGTGCGCTGATGAAGGTTAATGGGGTATGATCGGAGCCTTTCATATTGTCTTGCTCCATTTCGTCAAGGTTGCCCGCTTTCGCCTTTGCTTTACGTTCTTGCGTTGGAACCTTTCCTTCGCAAGTTAAAAGCGAATCCGGTCCTGTGCAGAATTTTCCTGCCTGGGGCTACCACCTCAGCCAGGTATTCTGCCTATGCTGATGATGTCTTGGTTTTTGTGTCAAGCAGAGCCGAGATTGATGAAGTCAGCAAAGAGATCAGTGGTTATGAGATGGTGACAGGGGCCAAGATCAACCACGATAAGTCTGTTGGCTTGCGGTTGGGTGCGTGGAAGGGAGTTTCTCTTCCCAGGCCTTTCCTCTGGACAGATGGGCCGGTCAAGTTACTCAGCATCTGGTTCGGTTCTGATATCCAGTTGGAAATGAATTGGTCGTAGGTACGAGGGAAGGCTGAAATCACATTTAATTTGCTCACTAGGGGTTATGAGAGTCATGATTTGGACGACACGCAAGAAGGGCGAGAAGTTCACTTCTTCCCAACTGATCTTGTACTTTAAGCATCAGCTTAAAGTCAAAATTAGGACGGAAACGCGGTTGTGCTGAATAAAAGGAGCTGATATAGAGTGGCATTTTGATGCCGGTTAGGCATCCAGATATTGTTTTTCCTGGGTTGAACTTGGGCAACCCATCCTGAAATTAGGTTAGTGTAGGTTTTGTTTTATTGAATCTTTAATTTTTTCCTTTTTCCATTAAACATAACTAGGGTGTGTTTGCTCATTGGCCCCTTTTATTTCTGTCTCTATTTTTTTTTTTCTCTTTAGTTTAATTCCCCATCCCCTCCCTTGTTAGGTGGTCAGTGATGTCAGTTCTCTGGTGAATGTGGGGCGATTTTCGTTTTTTCATTTTTTGTCGTCGTGTCTGGATGAGTGCGTATCTGTGAGTGCTAGGGCTGAATGAATGTTTTTTTATATTTTTATAGGCCTGCATTGATTTTTTCCAGTGAACTGATATGATAATTAAGTATTGTGGGGGGTTTTATTACTAATAATGATTTTGTTTAGTTTCTTGTGAATAGATTAATTCATATTGTATATACTCATTGGGGATCTTTTTAATTTGTTGTTTTAAACCCCACCACCACCATACGACGATTTGTACATATGAGGACTATTTAGGATTTTCATTGAGACAATGAGGTATTATGGTGGATGTAGTAAGAAAGGCTAGTAAGAATGTGTTGTTTTGGTGTTAGGAATTTTGTTTGTATGCTTGGGTCAGTCGTTGTGTCTAGCTAAGTTTAAAATTAAGACAGATGAAGACCGTTCTTTTCCCCATCCCCTTTTTTAGGCCTTGTGCTACATTTTCTGTAATTTCACAGAAATAAATATTGTAATGGTTAGTTAGCAAGCTCGTCTCGCTAGAATAATTACGACTGAGTAGTGAGTTCGATCCTCACTGGGTGCCCCCCCTACTTTTAGCCTTGTGCCACATCTAAGCTACGCTTGGAAAATCACTAAACTAAGTCAGGGTCCATGCCCTTTACCGAGGATAGGAACAATAAAAGCAAAGGAAATATATAAAAGAGAGAGAGAATTTTCTTTGTCACTCACTTAGTAAAAAAGGAAAGTGTATATTTTTGTATGGTGTTACCTAATACTACTACACTACAGTATAAAAACAGAGGGAAGTCACGTCACGTCAGTAAGAAAGTGACTGAAGTCGAGATGCCAAGTCAAGATTGATTACATTGCAGATCCTTCTTTGGATTTTGTCAAAAACCTCGAGAAAGAACAGACAGCAGGAGTACCAGACAACAGTATTCAATGCACGGGCGAATGGTAGATTTGTAAATGTGCAAAAATAAAATGGACCCTTGAGTTGTTGAAAAGTGCGAGAGAAAAAATAAAATATTTTAGTATTCAGTCGATGTACAATATTCTATAAAGCAGCTGAAAGTACACATTTTTGATAAGAAAAAAATTGAACAAGGGTGAGAGAAAAGAACTACTTGACCCTGAATTGATCCATTATCCAACCAAACAATGAATGGAGTGGAGTGGACTTTAATCTTTAAAAATAGGACAATAAATAATGTGAACGCTAACAGCTAAAAAGTATATTTTCTAAACGGAAAGTTTTTAGGGTTCTTTTATTAAAAACTTTGACACAAAATTCGTCATTCCTATCTCTTCTCAGTTCTCACACTCAGTCACTCCAATAAGAAAACATAGAAAAGAAAACAATTTACATTTTTTTTCTGATACGAGTTATACTTTTTTTTTATGAAATTGTAAAAAATGATTTTTTAGTTCAGAATTTCGGCTACTCACCAATGGTTTACTTTTTTTTAACATTTTAAAAAATGAGTTACGTAAAACAATTATTTTTTACAGAAAACAAACATTTGTAAATTTGAGAGTAGATTTTACTACTTAGTAAATTATCTTTTTAAAATACAGAAGAATGAAATTTCATAAAATACGATCAACCATTTCGATGTTGAAAATTGAATCTTTTCAAGTGCGACGTAAAGAGTTCATTGCGCTTAAAAAAGTAAAATATTTCAAATACCTTCGTTTTACAAACAAGATTTTTAATTTTTATGATTTATTATTTGAAGGGTGCGGGCATGTTTTGATGAAAAGAAAAGCTTAAAAAAAGCATTATCTTTTTCATAGCTAAGGAGACTCTTTGATATATAGTAACTTATTTTTATTTTCTCATATGAAGTGAGATGAGATGCATATACGTATTAAAATAATTGTATTACTTGAGAACTAAAAATCAAATCACGCACAACACGCGTTGCGGCGTTTGTTTTTGTTGCGCGTGCGCGTGTGTAAAGCCCTTGGCCTTAAACAAAAAAAGGCGAAAGTTTTTTTTATTTCTTTAGTTGGATCCTGTTTGTTTCAAAGTTCATTTTCTGCTGCAGTGTCGTAATCAAAACCTGCGGAGCTGTTTTATTTATTTAATTATTTATGTGGTTTCGTCAACCTCGATATGGAATCGTTTTTTTTTTACAATATGAAGTGTGGTAAAAAAAATAATATTAAAAATTTAACTATAATTCGATTGCAGTGAAAAGAAGAGTAATGAGTGAATATTTCTTTGTCTCTCTAGCATAAATTGATAATAGCGTATCTGGCTCAATTAAAAAAAATGTACAAAGAAAAAAAAAAGCACCTTTAGTTTAATTTTAAGTTTTAAGAATATTTTTAGTACTTACCTCTAACTGAGGATACTCTTTCTCAAGATCGTCCCAGTCTTCGAGACAACTCTTCAACCAGGGATTCTGAACCGTACTGTCTTCTTCAGTATTTTCTGGGGAATCCATTATTTCAGTCCCTTCTTTTTCCTTTCTGGTCAGAACCCTGTTTTTGTTGACCATTTATCACTCAGGTACCAAGTTTTCATTATTTTGCTGTTGAATCCTGGTTTGTTGCTACGCCTCCGTTATTTCTTTAAAAAATATTTTTATACAAAAAAAAAAAAATGATTATAGAACACAACAGGCCTCAAAATTGAATCATGTGTAAATATAAATACGGGGTGTTGTTCATTGTTTCAGTCCCCTCAGCATTGTTTATTGCGTGGAGTGGAGTGAAAAAAAATGATGTGAAAACCAGGAGAAAAGAAAAAATATGAAGCAGCAGCTGCAAGCTACAAATCACACACTCCTTTCTCTAGACTAGAGACCGGTGGCAAGCCAAAAACAGTATTCCATAAACATTAACAAGATGCGGAAACTAAATGTTTTAGCTTTCAAAGCCACTGAGAGTCAATTTATTTAAAATCGATGTTTTAATGTCTATACGTAGATGTTGTATTAATTACTTATGTATTTTCCGATGGATTTTGTGTACGATAATCAGTTTTTCTTTGCCTGTTTTTTTTTTTTATATACATGCAAATTACTTCAAACACAAAGTGTGTGGATCGAACCCCTTCTTAGTCTTTATCTTGCAAAATTAGTTCAAAGCATTATTATTATTATTTTATTTTATTTTATTTTATTTTTTTACTTAACTTTTGTTTTATGTGCCGGGTCATAATCAATGACTTCAGGGAAAGCAAAGAATGTGTTTTCGTTGTTTTCTCTTAATTAAATAAAAAAGACAGCTATTGTTAGCAAAAGAAAATTTTAATGGACAAAGCTCTTTTTGCATGATATGGGCTGTGTTTGTTAGAAATATATTTTGGATTTGTTGTTGAGATCCTTTCTTTATCAGTCCCAAAGCTCCAACCACAATAGGAACAGTTTTAGTTTTTAAGTACCACATTTTTTTTCTATTTCCATTTCAGGGTCTTTGAGTTTGCTTAGTTTTTCAAAAAAACTTTGCTGAGATGTTTTTGTCTCTTGGTACACTCAGGTCAAATATAATTGTTATCATTGTTGTTGTTTATTATTATTATTATTATTTGTGATCATGCATAAACCATAAAGAATAAAATAATTCTACTTTTTCTTGGTAAGTATTATTATACAATATGTAAACAGATGTATTATAGTGACATTAAAGATAGTAGTAGTAGCAGCTCTAAAATAAAATCAGTAGCAACTCTAAATAAATCTTGTATCACCAACAGCTAGAATATAAAAAACATGTGAACCCTAAAGTAACTCTCTATCTTCATCTTTCAAACAGCTGACATGAAGTTTCCATGTTGAAGCTAAAAGAGCTTCAAATAAAACACACCAACAAAGTAAGTTCCCACTATAACATATTAATGAACATTTCATCGTGTATACAATTTATGTCTAAAAAAAGAAACTCTTGTTTTAAACTTTCCTTTTGTTAATTTTGTCTTAATAAATGTTATCTTTGCATTGTAAATCAATTGGTCAGTTATTTTGTGCACATACTCTTTACACCACCATTATTGCATGTGCTATTTTCCCATAAGAAAACTTACACATTTAATTATAGAAGTAGCTAATCACTAAACAGATAACAGCTGTATACTCACAGTCATGGCCTCTGATACATGTGATGGATACATATTTCTGATTATTGATGCTTGAATTCAGGTGAGAAATGTCGATTTTGAAGACAAGCAAGTCCTCTCCATGACTCCCCTATTTTAACTCCCCCAAAAGCAAAAACATTAACCATAGGGAAGTGTTGTGGGGAAAGCATTAGTAAAATATAATTGAGGTACAAACATATTAAATGTATTTCACAACTAAAAAAAATAAGAAATGTGATAAGACATCACAGGCTGATACATGAAAAGCAGAAAAGAAACAATGCAATACTTGTAGACACAATCTTATCAACATACAAAATTAATTGATATTGGCTTATAAAAAACAGTGGGGAAACAAAAAAATTAAAATCTAACTCTGCCAGGAAACCAGAACAATGGCCTAAACAGAAGGAAAAGAAAAAAATCTTAAACTATAAAGTTTAGATATAGTGATTATTTATAAAAGCTTCTATTTTGTCAGGTAAAAAGGATTTTAAAGCCAGGAAAGCCTTTACTACTTGGAGAGAAATGAAAATTATAATCAAGAAGAGAGAGATTCCTCAAAATAAAAGCTAATACTAAAAAGAGATAGCAATGGCAAGCTATTTTAATTTTGGTAAGACAATATAAAATAATTCTTCTTGGAAAGAGAGGTGTATGTGTGTATAAATGCACACACACACACATATATATATATATATATATATATAATACTTTTACAAACTTTGCAGGGGGCAGATTCCTCACACCAAAACAGGGACTAGAACCCATACAAATATATGTCCACAAATCCTTCCTTTTTGAGTTATTAAGTTTAAAGAAAGTTTATGGTAGATGACACCATGTTGCCATGTAGACTAGGTTACATTTGTCATACGTGTACATTTCTGTTTAGTCTGTCTTCAACATTTAATGTATGTAATAGTGAGTTAACTGAGAAGTGTTCCAATTAACAATGGCAGGATATTCATATCATGAGCAGATAGATATGATTTACAAACGGCTGTGTAAATGATAATGGATGCCAGGCTGCACAGCTGTATTAGATTACATTTCTAGACCCAATGCAGCCAAGTCAACCAACCTTTGCTGTTGTTTATCATTACATTGCTAAGACAGGATCCATGGTACCACAAAGGAAGACTGAGACCTGCTTGTATGCCTGACCACGATGAACACATTCTACAGTCTATCAGAGATGATCCAGATATCAGCACACATCAAGTGGCCCCAGCATGTCATACATCTCATAGCACTGCGCATGGAAGCTACTTCAAGAGCAGATCCTGTATCCGTATTATTTGCAGCATGTGCAGTGTCTTTTGCATGTATATATGAATATATGTATATATATATATATATACATATATATATATATATGTTGTGTGTGTGTGTGTATGTATATATAAATAATCTGTAGGAAAGAATTTAATTAAAGCTTTATAAACTTTATAAGAGTACATACTGTGTAAACCAACTACAGACACATTGGCACACTCCCTTTCAATTGTTGACATGTTTATCAATACTCCTATCACTTCTTAACTCACATACCACACTCTCCCAAGATCTATCTCTGCTCCTCTTTTTCCTCTGTCATGAGTCACTAGCTTCATTAGCTTGCTTGTGTAATACTGATCTTATAGTCAATCAGCTTTCTTTTCTCTCAGTTGGAGCCAATGTGTTGTCTCAATAGAATTGATTCACATTTCCCAAAATCTTACAATATTGGGATTGACAGCAAAGTCTAGTGTGAATCCCTTATATTCATTGTGTATTATTGATAAGATTGTACAATCCTCATTGAAGATTATGCAACTCCTGTCAAACATTGCACATCACTTGCCAAAGATTAAACAACTATGTCCATAGCCATGGTAAACTTTTGTTTATTTCATCTGGGTGGCCATCAGAACTCAGACTGAAAAAGGAAATCCTTCAATGTAATGTAGAACTGTTGATAACTCTAACAACAGGTTTATTGAATATAAAGAAAATAGGTTGAAATAAATATCTCTATTAGCTACTGTAAATTGAAATATTTTACTGTAGGAGTGGTGATTTGGAGATTCTGGTTGCACCCAGCCAATTTTTTGGTTATGTGTGGGAGATTTCTATTCTTAACTGATCAAGAAATAGCCTTTTCATAGAACTTCTTCAATTCTTCTGTCATGTGTGTGTCTGTGTTTTTGTACTGGCCTGGAAATTGTGGATATACTCTTTAGTGACAACTGTCTTACAAGCAATTCTAGGCTGTACTGAGACACCGAAATGCAGGTCATCTGCTCCATACTCGGGGAAGAATGATTACCCAGTGAACATGTGCTGGGCATATATAGAGAGAAATCTTTCCCAATAACAATGATTGATGACTTTTTTTACCTATACAGACGATAGAAAAATGACAATTCAAAATGCCTAAATTTAATTATGCACACCTTAATGCTTTAAAAATGGACATTTTAAAAGTATATATAAGTATATAAAAAATACAAAAACAAAGGGGCAGAAGAAGAGTAAGAATAAAAAATGCTCATAACTTTTTTATATTTTTGTAGATATTTATACACCTGTAACAGGTCACTGGTCTCGGTGGTGGACTGGGTCGAAAATTTCTACTGGGAAAACTTGTAAAAGGCCCAGTCAAAAGGACCTACCATTCAAAACTAACCAACCAAAAAAGAAAGTATAGTATCAAAGAAGCCTTATTTAAATCTTTCCATCATCTATGCAATATTTTTCTTTTTAGTTTTTACTTTTTTAGTTTATTTATAAAGTGATTGACCATCACTTTGGGGCCCACCAGGAAATTTACTGGTATCCTGGTGGGTCAGTCGTGCATGTGTGTGTGTGTGTGTGTGTACTGATATTCTAACTGTTATTATTCACAGAATCAGTGAAGCAGTAGACAATAAATACATCTGAAGGTAAAGGGTTATTGCACAAGCTCTCTAGCTATGGAATCACTAAAATTATAAAGTTCTTCTTAAGGGGTAAGGTAGTTGTTCATGGCTATTCCTCTGAGGCCAAAGTGATTGATACAGATGTCCTCCAAGGCTTGCATCTTTGTCCTACTTCACATGAGTATATTCTGTTCTTTTGTGAATATCTATGCTGATGATACAATGGTATATAGGTGCACCTCCAAAACTCTAGGTGACCAGAGTCTTGCAGCTGATTTCACCTCTGACCTCTCTAACAGCACAGTTGGGGCAGGGAGGGCTAGCTGGTTACTGTAATATTGATTCCATTTATCTCCCCTAGCCTAGCTCACCAATAAAGGAAGGCAGAAAACGGATCAGGGAGGAGGGGTGAAAAAATCATATGGCAAATAAAGCAAGCTGGCTAGACCATAAGATGTGTGTT